CAGAAGGTTCACTCAGGTAGCCAACGTGTCCTTACAACGGCCATTATTACAGCCAGTTTATTAGGGTTTTTGACTTTTTCCCAACCTTCAAAATGATCTAAAGTCATTTCTAAAGTCAAAATATTCTCGAATTCATTATTAAGTATTGATGTCATGTAATTTTAATGGTTGGAAACCAGTAACAAACCCTAATCAACTGGCTGGAATGATGGCCGTTGTAGAACACGTTGGCTTCCTTCTGTATAGTCATGATTCTGTGCTAATATTGATTTTGGGCTTGAAGATGTTGATGGCGTCAGTCAGAATGCCTATAAATCATTCTCAGGACCTTAACTTATCAAGATATATTTGCAAGATTCAATGAAGATTTGGTCAAAATTAAAATATAGTTTCTAAATTGATTAAGGTCTTATGAATCCTAACTTACTTCACAACATCATGCATCGTTACTTTGCATAACGACATCGTAAGATTCTAACGAATTTTATATTTAAACGCGTTGAACGTGGTCAAGACGTGGTCTCATATATTGACAACTAAAGATTGAAAGATTTGGGCACAGAGTAATGATTATACAAAAGAGTCCTAATCCCATAGGACACAAGTGATTAAGCTCTAACCGTCTTAGAACATGACAAAAGCCACGAGGGATTATTTATGGTAGTGAATTTAAGGCCCCGTCTACACGTATTCGTTAGTACCTGTAAACATTTTATCCGGATTTAAGACTTTACGCGTCCACACGTATGCAAATTTGATGCGTTTTTGTGTGTCCACACGTAGCTGCGAAAGCGATACAAATACCCAACTATTGCTTACAGAGCATGCGCTTTTCCAATTAATGAGCTGGTTATAAAATGTCGAATTATCCGACAAGAACTAGTGCTTCAAGTTCATCAAAGGTAAGAATGAAGCTTTTATGTTGACAGATGATGAAGTGGATCTTTTTCTGAGATCTGTTTTAGAATATGAAATAGCAAAAATGCTTAAGCACATATTTTTGACATTGAAAGGAGTCGTATCAAAACTGCTCTCCCTCTTTCCATAATTCTTTTGATAATTTAAGACGGCAAAAATAATCGCATAAACGCAATATTGCTCGAAAATAGCACAGTTAAAATCAAAAGAATGACTTTAGGCGTCATTTTATTCCATAGGATAACACATAATAAATGTGGATTGGATTAGGGCAGCAAGGGCGTGGGTAGATATTAGAGACCTTACGATTAAGCGACTGCAACGGCAACGGCAACTCTAGGGGACTGGAACGGTCGCGCGGTTGACGTTGCCGTTTCCCGTTTAGATTTAACCATTGAGTTCTACAATAACTGGAGCGGCTATCTCAAGCGCGGCCTTAGATATCTGATGACGCCAAAAAAATGGCGGATTTCGTCCGTTGCCGCTGAGATTTACCGAAATTGATCGCTTTTCCGAAAATTTCACAATATCCCACTCCCTCCTGAGGAAAGAGTGAGGAAAATTTATGTGTGTATTTGGGATTCGGCAAGCAATTTTTTGATGAAAATCAAGGTAAAAACCTTAAATTCATAACAGCGAGTCGACTGTGGTTGCCAGTTATGTGCTCATACGAGGATGCATTTATAACTATCGGCGAAAGAGCTATATGTCGGCTACACATGTATGAATGCAGATGTGCGTCGTTTTTTTACCAGCGTCAAACTTGTTTGATCGATTAAACTCTTTAGTCTACACAAAAAAGTATATCACAGTTCATCTCCACGGTTCACGAGAGAGAAGTTAGCTTATTTGTTATCATTGCTATTTTGCTTCTCTTCATGATGCAATGGGCAATGGCTTTTTTCGCCACAATTGTTGGATTTTTACTTGTTTCTTTAAAAAAGTAAATATTAAATCTCTGGATATTTACGGATTTTCTGTAATTGAGTTTCATATTAAATTTCAAAAAGACTCAAGTCTGCATAGGTTTGGTAAATGAAAACAAACAATATTGTATAGAAATTACTTTAAGTAACCTTTTTGTGATGTTCTGAAGTGCAACTGCATCAAATACTTGTAAAGTTGTAGCACATTTTGATTTTGTTGTATTGATATATGAATTGGGCAAAATGCAAATAATCATCAAAACACTTATGCTTCCAATGGTGTTTATAATTCATTTGTAGTTTTAATACTTCTACCCTTCTTTTTCACTTTGTTTTGTTTTTCCTATATTTGCAAATAAGTACACAATTTGAATGATTAACACAGTTTTCACCTCAATAATAAATTTCATAAGCAGTTGGTGGTGAATTTTGTTCTCTGAGTATCCACATCTGGTGTTTTGTTCATACAAGAATGATGAAGTGCAAGTAGATATGTCATAGCAAGGCAATATTACCAAATGAATCAAATACCTATTGTGTACTTTCATGCTAGAAGCTTAAAAGCTTTTTAGAAATTATAAATTAATTGGATTATATTAACCATATATCATCAATCTCATGTAAAGAAATAAGAAGCAAAAAATTGTAGAAAAGCTTTGAAAAGTGAAAAAACGTTTCTTTAAAAAAAGCAGCAATAATGCATATTATAAATCTCCATTCTGTACTCTAATAGGTAAATAAGCTCAAACTGTTTCTTGAAGCAAAAACTGTAATAATGAAGAAATATACAGTACAGTAACTTTAAAGATTTCATCACTGAATCTTTAATGCTTCAGTTTTGTGCATTAGATATTAGTAACATTTAAACAACACTCAACTAAAATATTTTGATAAAGATATGACATGATTTAAACATTAAGTTATATAAAACCCAATGGCTTATACAGTTTGAAGCTTCACATCTGTATCGACTCATCATCATCTCAGTACAAATGTTTACATAGACACAAACTTTATGGCCTTCCCATTTTATATGTTTGTGAATTGACAATTCATTAAGCATCAAAGTTCACACAACCTTTTTGCCATCTTTCTTTGGTTCATGAACTTTAACTTCAAAGCATTCAAGGCATCCTTAGTGAATCCATTGTCTCCATCCATAGAATTTGACCATGATCAAATTAAATAACTCTGGATAGGGCAGACAATAAATCAATTATCTTTACAGCATTATCATTTTTTTAAGACTCTGCCTGGTCAATAACATCTTCCAGTCATCTTTACTCCTTGATCTTCCCTGCATGTTGTCAGCAAATAGAACATAGCAAGGTCTGCTCCAAATCATGGGTACCGTTGGGGCTGATGATTTCTTTTTGATACTTACTCACAGAGCAAAATGTGCACAGGGTCTTTTCTGCTTTAGGGAAACTATTTTGCAAATAGATGGGTGAATTTACGACTCCATGCATTAACAAATGACAGAAAAGTATGCAGAAAAGTATTTATAAACAAAAACAGGAAAACATCAGTGTATTTGGCGTTCAAGTCAGTCTTAAAAAATACGATCTTTAATATGTATTCTTATGGCTTTTCAAGTGCATGTATAATTGCTTTTCAATCGTTGACGGACTAACAAAACAAGCAACTATCTCACCTGTGAAGCGATATGTTCCTTTTTGTTGAAACTACGACATCCAACAATTGAACGATTGAAGTGTTGGCATTATAAAAGAAATGCCAAAAAAGATATCGTCACAGAATATGGAACTAACGATATCCATATTCTGTGATATCGTGTTTGTTTTTGAAAAATTCTTTATAATTTACTATAGACACCAGGGGGAGTTCGAGAATATTATTTTTCTGCAAAGCGATCATTTCAGCGGAAATACGTCCGTTGGCCGCCATTTTTTTGGCGACCTCGCCCCAGTAAAGTTAGCCGCTCCAGTTATTATAGAACTCAATGGATTTAACCTTACGATTGCATGTGCTAAGACTTTTGTGGGTAAATAAAGATTCATTAAATTTTAATATGCCGAGTCTTAGGGAAATTACTGTGTTCGCTCATGCTTTGAACGCGATAGATAACGAAGAATTTGCTCTGTAAATAAACCCAAAAGCCCTAGGATACCGTTTTGGCGTTATGAAGACTTCGATTTAGATCGAATGATAGATGATGAATGTTTAGCAGAATTTCGCTTCTTTCGAAATGATATTTACAACCTTGCTGAAATATTGGAATTGCCTGGGGAAATAAAATGCTATAATGGACTAAAAGTAGACAACATTGAGGGGCTATGTATTTTTTTGAAGAGGTTTGCTTATCCGTGCAGATATGTTGATATGATTCATAGATTTGCCAGACCTGAACCTCGGTTGTGCATGATATCGAATCAAGTTCTGAACGTAATTCATGAACGATGCCATCATTTGCTCACTGATCTTAACCAGGCATGGTTGCAACCAGAAAATTTAGAGGAGTTTGCCACAGTTATACACCAAAAGGGTGCAGCTCTTAACAACTGCTGGGGGTTCATCGACGGGACTGTTCGTCCTGTTGCACGACCAGGTCGATTGCAACGTACACTTTATAATGGACACAAGAAAGTTCATGCTATTAAGTTTCAATCCATTGCAACACCATCAGGCATGATAGCTAATCTTTATGGTCCAGTCGAAGGAAAAAGGCATGATAGTGCATTGCTTGCCCAATCTGGTATTCTCAACATGTTACAGCAATGTTCATTTAACAAGCAAACTTGGGGATATTTTATGCATATATGGTGATCCTGCATACCCTCTCAGACCACAATTACAGGGCCCTTTCCGAGGAGCTGTAGTTACAGAACAACAAAAACAATGGAACAAATCTATGAGTCAAGTGGGAATAGCTGTTGAATGGTTGTTTGGTGACATTGTAAATTACTTCAAATTTTTGGACTTTAAAAAAAATTTGAAAGTACATTTGAGTGCAGTTGGGAAAATGTATGTTGTGTGTGCTCTTATAGAAAATGCAAGGGCATGCCTATATGGCACAACAACAGCAAAATACTTTGGCCTTGACCCACCCACTATACACAATTACTTCATGTAAATGATTAAAAAAACACCATTGTTCATAAGAAATTGTTTCAAAACAGAACATTAATAAATGGATTTAAATGCAAAAATTTAAACATTTGCACAATAGTTGTAAAATATGAAAGACAGCATGAAAATGCATATACTTTTTTACATATTTAATTTAAAAAACTGAAACAATTGAGATTTGTAAACAAGTTTACTTTGATCTGTTATCATCACAGCATAAACAAAAAGAGGAGGCTGTTCTCTGGTAATAGTCTATGTCATTGTTTATTTTCCAGAAGTTAACTTATTCAAAAGGGCCATCATGCATGAACTTTGCTCCTGCTGATGCCTCATTAACTGCATGAATTGCTGTTGTTGAGTCCTTTGCAATTCGATAAGTTGATTCAGCACAGAATTATTTTGATTTTGGGCTACTTCCATTGCTTCTTTTCTAAGTTTCATGTCATTTTCTTTTAATTCATAATCTTTGTCAGTTTGTTGCTGCATAATTTCCAATTCCTTCTTCTTCAACTCAGCCTCTCTCTCACTTTTTTCTCTTAAATACAAAACCATGTCAGAACCACTACTGCGTTTTCTTTTGGCAGTTTTTACCTCAGAATCAGTAAACTCTGATCTCTTGTGAGTTTCACCAAACGATTCAAGGGATTGCTGTCTCATTTCAGCTGCCTGACTGGCTTCCTCCTCAAGTTTTCTTTTCTTTTCCTTTGATGCTCTTTCGTGCTCCATATCAGCTTCATGAAACAATGTAATAATTTCATCCATGCCAAGATCTACTTCATTCTCCTCGCATGATATTCCACTTGCAAGAATTTCATCACAGATTTTCTTCTTAGGTTTCTTTTCAAGCACAGCATATCGATCACGTACGGACCTTTGAGTTACACGAAACGTTGGTGTTTCCAAAGAATTCAATGAAGTAGCTATCTTCATCCATGCTTCTCCTCTTTCAGGAGATGCTTTCTTACTGCTCCATGGTTGAATCAACAAAATTTCTCGTACAAATATCTCATCATGCAGCTCAGTCCATTTCATAGGAACACTAATTGAACAGAAAAATACGATTTCTTAGCAAAATAATGTAACCTTGAAGTATATTGCAGTTAAATAATTCATCCTTCAAAGATATAATAAAAATATAAACAGAAATACAAAAGCAAGTGAAGCTTTGACTTAACATGATATTTTAAAGCCTCAATACTTGTAAAATTATAATAAATAACTAGTCTAATATCAAAATAATTTACCTTGATGTTGTTCTTTCAGAAGACATCGATTGTTTGTGCAATTTATTAATGCCGTTCTCGCACAACGTCAAATTAAAGAGAATGGCGTCGGGCACGCTAAGCGAGAACGGCACTATTTTGATCGGCGCATGCGTACACGTATTTTCACCCACGTTGCCGTTGCCGTTCGCATTGCTGTCGGTAGAACTTAAGGTCCATATTATATTTCATCGATATACGTCAACGTTTATTAATCATTCCGGTTACAGTGTGTCCTCACGTGTCTGGATTTGATGCGTTTTCAAATGTTTCCACTCTGGAGACCGTTTTCAAAAGTTTGCAGTTACAGTAGGCGTTTTTGCTGGATACGTGTGGACGATAAGCGTAACAGCAACAAAATATTTGCGGATACGAACGAATCCGGATACGTGAGGACGGGGCTTAAGATGCTTTGTTTTTATTTAAGTGATTACCAGTTAGTAATTATTGCTTCAGTGTAAGAAAAACAAATAAAATTCAAAAATGAGAAGATAAAATATCCTTATGCAGTAGTTTTAAAATCGTTTATTTTAATCTGTACATTTGAAAACACGAGAGAATTTAGTGAATTGGACTTGTTAGAATGCAAGATTGCAAATGCACTTCAACCAACTTCTGCAGTCGACGTTTCAAGTCCAAAGAAAGCGAAGGTAGACGAGGAGAAACAAAAATGTGGCAGCACTGCAAATACACAAGAGACAAAGACTTTTTTGGTTTTAGAACATGGGGAAACACGTATGACGTTTCATTTTAAGTAATAGAGTACATGTGTTCGTTATTAATTTTGAGTGCAATATTAAGTTTTTCTAATTTGTTTGTAAGAGTCATTTTCTTTCCAAATTTGTGTGCAATATGAATCTGTTTACTTCACAATAATATGTTATAAACGCCTTAGATTTTATCTGTTTGTTAGATATTCGGATATGCACTGTAGTGTTACTACATTCATTAGTATTTTCTATTTAGAGAATACTTATAAAGAAATGAAAAACAAAAAACAATATCCAAATTAGTATTTTCTATATAGGGAATACTAATGAGATTTAAAGAATACTAATGAGCTGTTGTATTCCATTGTTTTCTCTCCATCTGTGCATTTTCTTAGAGCCTTAAAGAAGCTCATACCAATTTATGATTTGTAGGCACTATGAGCTATAGAACATCAAAATACTGGATGCTGATTGGCCGAGTGGCTTTGGCCATGTTCTAAATAATGATAAACAATTTTCATTCCAATCGGCTCTTCAGGTTCATGTCACCTTTCAAAGATACAATAATTAATCCTTTAATGTCTTTGAACAAAAGAAATACTTTGTATTAAAACTTTTACGTCCGTTTCAAACATCGAATTTTGCTTGTGTTGAATGCATTTAAAACAAATGATAATGAGGAATTTTACATTATTTTCTTTTGTCTTTGCACGTGTAAAGTTCTACATTTATAATAAGGCTCCGTTTACACTATACCGAAAACGTTACAGGTTAAATTTTCTATGTATTAAAATCATTGATATCGTTCAATGTCAAAAACAAAATTAAATTGACTAAATCTACTAACTTAATAAGCATTTACTCCAAATCTTTACAAGTTTAAAACAAATGAAGATGTCATGATGAGCAAATCCTGTAGATAGTGTAAACACAGCCTAAGCCTCAAATTTTGCCAAGTTAAACCACAATGTAACATGATTATTCAATATTTAATGATGGCTTTAGGGAGAAGAGAGGAAGAGGCAGATTGACTTCTTCCCCCTAAAGTTATTACTCTGTCCTTAGTTATCCCTCACAGATACTTTTATCTCACTTTTGTACAATAAGAAAAACTTGAAAACTTAAGATTTTAAAATTTTGAATTAAAGAAGCACTTGTAAACACAATCACCATTAATTCATGTCAATATTTTACTGTATATAATTTACCTATATTTAAATGAATTACCACTGCATCACATTACTGTCATATATGTTATAACATATTTATAATATTGTCACTAATACTGAAGATGACATCACGTGATGCTGAAACATGTTTATTTTGAAAAACTCCAATAATTACCTAAGTTGTTTACTAATCAGTAAAAGGCAACAAAATGTACGCAATACGTACCTGTTTTTCATAAGATGACCCAAACTAGAAAAAATCTTGTGGAGCACAAGGATCTTTAAGATCATTAGCAAAATATTTCTTCAGAATAGTGACCAGGGATATACCTGGCGGAAAGCGAATTCTTATTATAAATATCAAAGCCCAAGGATAAGTGGAATTCACAAGAAAACTCCATGTCTGTATATTTTGTGATTGTGTGTGTTTTTGTTTCATTCGTGATTTCCACTTCTCCCACTTTATACCATCTTATCCCACTTTTACTTTCACCTTTTTCATCCCACCATATAATTTAATATTATGTATAGCTATTAAATTGCTATTATATATATAAATCCCTTTATACTTGTAATTCAATACTGTGTGATGATGTCTTGAGAACCAAGACGAAACGTTACGCTACTAAATAAATATTCATTTTTATCCGTCATTTTTGTATTGAATGGCTCTTTTAAAAGCACTTTGCTGAGCTTTAATATTTATAATAAGTAAAATGTTTCTTGTTATGTTTACAATTGTCACAAATTGAAACTGTACATTTAACGTGGTATCAACCCCAACATCATGATGTTAAATTTTATTTTAACAATTGAAGACAGAAAGTGAGAATTAATGTTCGTCAATATTTTAATCAAGAAAATATTATCCAAAAAAATTTAATTCCTCAATTCAAATGAACTTATGTCAAAATCGTAAAAGTTTTATTTATTTTCATCACAGTTATTGACATGACGTCATGATGTTTTTACATACGGGAATTGTTGACAGTATATAACATTTTCTGTCTATAAGGTCATATGTACATATTAAACGTACAGAAATGATCTCTCATATTTTTCAACTAATGACCATAAAACCCAAATGGTGTTTTCATACATGTGAATTTTTAACAGCACACAAAACCTATTTCCACGATATTAAATTGTATTTACAGTTCTTGAAAGTATGTTTAAAAAAAGTCACTCTATAATTTCATCAAAATAATCTTCATCTACAACAACACCATATTGTCAAATGACTCACAATGAATGAGTTGTCAACATTCTTTCATTTCTATGTAGTGAACGTCTTATTTATAATATTATATAATAGCCGGAAGAATTTAAGCAATTTCATTAGTCGAGAGCTATGATCTATAAGAGGACAGACGCACGGAATTGAGGTCACAGAAAATTCCTTGTTTTTAAATGACAAACGAACGGAGAATTTATTTGAATATTTACCTGAATATATCCCTGAATGGACAAATAAAGAAATTAAGAATGCCCAGTTGAAGCATTGGACGTATTTGAGCAAAAAGAAAAGAAAAAACCCGGTTTTCAAACATTGATTTGCCCAGGCGGCTCGTGGCCACTCAGTTTTTATCACAATGACGTCATACCCGTGTATCTATAACTGTATAGACAACGGTTAAATTTTATCTATTTGTTAAATAAAAATAACCAAATTATCTAACCATACATTTTTATTAAAAAGTAAATCATCAACATGAAATTTGTTCAGAGGTACAATACATAATAATAAGTTTGACAAAGCATCTTACAGTAGTAGTCTAATCTAGAGGATGCCCTGTTTAAATAACAATTCATTTATGAAGATTATAATTAGAATCTTAGAAAAGAATAAACAAAAATTCATGATCAATTAGTAAAGAGGCGCTCTTTTTAAATACAAGTCATTTGTGTTATAAAAAGCAATTATACATCGTTTCAGATTGTTGCAAAACATAGATAATATTTTACATTCTTTAATAGCATGAGGTAAGACATTCCAAGAAATAGTACCGATAAATTTAAAAGATCTTTTGCAAAATTGGTCCAAATTGATTTTTGGTAAATGTAGATAGTTTCTTAAAGATTGCCTGGTAGAATAAGTATACTTCTTCTGTAGAAATAAGTAGATGGAAATAAGTAATCATCCTTACGACCATCAACATCTATGTGCAATTTTCTGTACTTTAAACTCTCAACTATAGCTAAAGTTCCTGTATTGGAATGCATAGTTATATTAGACTTATAATAATGTTCGTAAAATTCAGCGCACTCTTCACCACTCTTTAAATCTACAGCAAACAATGTCCAATCAAACACTCCAATGCAATAAGATTTATGTACGATTACGTTGGATTTGAAATAATTGTCACGGACATCATGCAAAATCGAATTCACATAACCATTCTCGTGAACATTAATTACATAAATGACCATACTTTCGTTGCCTTTGCAAAATGTTATGACTGCTTGTTTACTATCTCTTATACAGCAGTTGATCTTTAGATCATCTACAGTTACATGTTGTGGAACAAATTTCTCAATGAGAGCTGTTATGGGTATTTCTGCAGTATGCCAAGGTTTCAAGTAAAGTACATTGTTGTTATTTCCCCATTTCCATAATGTGTATTCTGTTTTGTTTACAGTTAAAATAACAGAATTATCTGGGAATACAGCTGTTGCTATAAATTTTGAACTATCGACAGGAAGTCTTTTGTTATATTGTATCTTACCCTTGGTGATTCTAACAACTTGAACAAACTTTTCTTCGTTAATACAAACTAAGACATCACCAAATGTTAAGATTTTTCTCGGTCTAAATCCAAGGAATACCCGCTTTGTCTGTGTGGAATCTACAAAACGTTCAGACGAAGTTGATATCTTCATAAGATGATCAGAACCATCCCATATCCAAAGTAAACCCTCTGACCACCAGCATCCTTTTGCATTCTTCAGTTGCATTGGTATAATTTGAATAATAGTGCAACGTTCAATGCTCCAAATATGAATGTTGACGTGGTCACCAACAGCGAAAGCAGCAAAAAAAGATCCATCCGGTGAAAAACAACAACATTTAATTTTAAATTTCTCAAAGATAAATGAAGGTCTCCAAAGATGATCAGTTTTGAAAATTTTAAGCTTGGAAAAATACGGCAAAACGTAAAATTCCTTAAACGACATTGGATGGACTTTGTCAAAAGCCCTATCAACACATGGACACCTAACATATGGTAAACAAAACACGATTTCTGCTTGATCGTTGTATTTCGTCAACTGAGTGATTTCAGAAAGCTTTCCATTCTGGCTTGTATGATAAAAAATACAATCACGATAATGGTGTGTTATCATTAAATGTAAAGGTGGCAAATATTTCTCTTTACTTGAAAAAATATCGATTGCCTTTGGGAATTGAAAGACATGCGAAGTCTCGACGAATTCTGCAACAAAGGACTCTGAACATTTATCGGTGCATTGTAGTTTTTTGTAATCAACAACGCAGCGTCGATCAATTCTTTGTAAAGTTAATGAATTCCATGCAGTGAACATTTTTATGGCAAGATCATTGTCTCTCGTTCTTTCTACATATTCTGCTGTAATAAACAAACCAGAATCTAAGAAAGAGCAAAGATTAACGACATCATCTGACTGTAAACATAATAACAAACGTCCATTGTTAACATCCCACAACTTTACTTCGGGAGATCCATCACTAGTTACCAGTCTATTTCCAGTAGGTGAAAAGGAGCAACAACAGACAATTCCACGATTCCGCGTTATTCGTGGATAGTCATAGTTGTCATACGGCGACATTAATGTGTCTACATCATCTACATCATCCCACTTATCCAACCTTGAATCATCAAGTGCAGTCCCTAGAGTGCATCGTTGTTTGAATTCTGGAAGTTCAAAAATAGATATTTGACCATTTTCATATCCTACAGCAAAAAGTTCTTCATTGGATGACACACAAAGAGATGTAACGTTGGCAGGCAAGGAGAGAGTCAAATGATGACGGTTTGTTAAAAATGTCGAGTCTAAATTCTCAAACCAAACAACTTTTCCTTGTTTCAATAAATCCATTGCCAAAAATCTTTCTTCGTTACTGACATGAATTCTGTCTGCAATAGTTTGTAAAAAAATTAAGGCTCGATGTAACGTAGATGACAGAAGTTTCATTGTGGTAAAAAAATCAAACAGTGGTTCCTCAAGTACATCTTTTCTCAAGAAAGTTAGTAGTTCCTTAATGATTTCAGATAATTCACACCTAATGGTAATCCCGTTAATGTCTTCCACACACATTAACCTCGCAAAAACCACTTTGATATCTACTGCCCAGCTAAAGTCAACATTTTCGCCACATTTTGACAAATGATAGATTCCATTCTTCAAAGCATATTTAATCATAGCAGTGTTCATCTGATCTTCAAAAATGTTCATCGACTTAATATGTTTAAACACTTTCTCACAAGCATGCCATAAGAACTTATGACCATTTTTTGGACTAACTGTAAACTCATGCTGTTCGTAACCATCTGATTTTAACCAATCAATTAGAGATTTGTGATACACAGTTAAACAATCATCGTAAACTGGCAAAATTTGAGATAACAGTTCAAGGATTTTATTGCAGACTTCAAACTTGATGTCATCAGAAATACCTAAATAGCTAAAAAGCAAAGTTAATGGTAAAACTTCCCGACAGGCAGCCAACAATTCAAGAAATTGCTTAAAGATAATTTTTGAAATAACTGAATTTCCGGTTGAAAGACTTTTCTCTGTCAGCAACTCTTTTACCCTTTTGAATTGCTTTTTGTAAACACTGCCTAACCCACTCGGGACCAATTGTTGAATGTTTTCGTAAGTAAGTTCAATTTCTTCTTTATTTAAGCTCAGTTGTGCGTGATAAGCATAAAGAAATGATCCCTCACATTTTTTAACTAATGACTGAAGAAGGTAGCGATTTTTCTGCACCCGATCATTCAACTGATGTCTCAAATACTTGTGCAGGTCTTCTTCGTTGTTTTCATCTCGAGGTTTAGTTTTTATTTCCACAGGATTCATGTCTTTCAACTCCTTTTGAACAGGAAGTTCTGGACGACTGGTGATGAAGATTTTAATCCATTTAGGCAGTCTGTCAAATTCTTCTGCAATCAACTCCAACAATTCACTTTTGCCATCAACTTCGCTTTCATCTAAGGCATCAATAACCAAAAGCATTGGTTCATGATCTTCCAATGAATGCAATGGATTATTTAATAAAACACGGAATGCATCGGTGATTGAGTCTTTTGAATGGTTTCTTTGTAATTCTTCATTCAGTTTACTTTTAAAATCTAATAATGTATCACACATGCTACAAGCCAATGATTCTATCAATATTCGAGGATTCCTCTCATCGGATCGATTATATCTGCAGAAATGACAAGCAGCAAGTTTTCTCTTTTCAGAATATCGTCGACACAACTCAGCAGCAAACACACTTTTACCAACGCCAGGACCGGCAATCAAAATCATGACATTAGAAGCATCTTCACTTCTATCGTTAAACCAAGTGTCGAGATTTTCAAATAACCATTGTCTAGTGCCTTCAAGGTATTTCTTGTTAAGATCTTTTATAAGACCATTAAACTTACACTTTCCAAGCTTCTTAAGATCAGAAGAAATTTTGCCCTGTATTATTTCTCTTATTCCAACAACGTCAGCTTTTGTTGCCATCTCTTGCTTAATTTCTGCAACATCATTCTTCGTTGACATGATTTCTTTGATTTCCTCTACTTTCTCTACGACTTTAATTAACTGTCGTTCTTCTTTATACCATTCTTTTAACATTTCAATATAATTTGCCTCATCGGGACTGAGGGGAGCTTTCTTTAGTTCATCTATTTCAGTTTGTTGAATACCCAGAACAACCAATGCTTTTGAAATTTCCTGCCACAAGTACTCAAACGTACTGTCATCTACACTAGTTGTAGTAATGTGACCGTACACTTTGTTTCGATAAAATTTTATTCTTGCAATGTTTGCTGAGGTTGAAGAGTCTGAAGACGAAGGAAGACTATCCCATCCACCATGTGGCGCTGTTAGACCACATATGTTACGCAATAAAACAGTCAATAATGAAATCTCAAAGTTTTCAAGGTTTGGCAAACCAGTTGATGGATAAAGAAGATCCCATTGCATTTCATTGATGACTTTTTTCTTTTTTAGTAAAGTCAATTTGTTCATTGTAGAAGAATCATTTAGTTCAGTGATCAAACTTGATGAAAAATTGTTAAAATTTAATTGCAATGTTGTTTTTAAGCCTTGGGTTCCTTTATTGATTAAAAGTTTACTTAAACGAGATCCATTTTCCTCAATCTTTAATTTGTTAGGTGGCGAAGCCATTTTTTATTCTAGAAAGAGGAATGAGTTTGTGAAAAAAGGTATAATTTAAAATGTACAAAATGTTCACAAAAGTTAAAAGGATAAATTAAAAATAGTACTACAAGTCATTTATAAAGACTTGTATGCTTCATTCCTTTCTCTCGATAAAAATGTGTTCACTGCTAGTGACATGACCCAGTAATTGATCTTACATCAAGGCATTAAAATAGTAGACTTGATACAATGAAAAAACAATAAAAATCATAATATTTTCCCCAACTTAGCGCGAGAGGCAACAATTACCTTGCAAAAGTAACTTCTAGTTAATAAATAATATATCTCACTTGTCTAACAGTCGTGTGGTGAAGCGATACGTCGTCCTTTTAACAGGATATTTCAAACTGGTTTGCCGTGTTGTATGAATATTTGCTTATTAACATTTTGATAGGACTATATTGCTAATGATTCTGTTCTAATTTAAATTTTTGCTAGATTGCAGTTTAGCGGACAACTGAAGCGTTTGTAACCGCGGGCTCGTTTTTGCTTGGGATTATAGGGTACGGTTTGGGAAAGCGTCCAAGTTGTCCGCTAAATTGCAGTAGTTCCCAAACGAGGTATATTTGAAGCCTGTAATCACCAGTAAAGCGTATAAATAAATGATATTTTCAGCTGCACGGCTTTGACTGTAGTCACTAAAATAAAGTGCAGATTATACGCTCTAAAGCATAGGCAATTGAAGAGCAACATAAGTATTGACTTTACTTAAAAAAATTCTATTCGTGATCGTTCGCATATGCGACTATCACCGATGATACAGCCGAGGATATCACGACGAACAGACACTGCCTGCCTCACTGCCTCACTCAGACACTTTTCAGTGTGGCATAGTGGTTAGCCGCGCATGCACAGCGGCTACCGACAAAAAACTAGTGATAAATTATATTATTGATATAATACAGTATAACTTGACGTCTAAAACTGCTCTCCCCAAAAATGTTGTTGCTCCCCATATTTTACATCATAGCCACATTCCTGCTCATATTGATACCACTTAAAGCGTGATTCCGTTTGAAGATGCTACGAGAATTTTAAAACTTAACAATTGATGAATGTCTTCTGCATGATATAACGTAAGAAAAGTAAAAAAAAATACACAAATCATTCATTACTTTTTCTATAAACTTTAATTTTGAAATATTCACGTGTTCAAATGTGGAGGCGCCGGCTGCTATTTATTTCTGGCCCAAGGTAGCTAAAAAGTGCCTTTGCCTATCACCTCACGGCGGGCCTGGCCTGACAGTCAGTGAAATTTCTCGACTTTGTGTTGTTACCACGATTTAATTCAAGTAACTAAAATAGTTAGACATGTTGGAAAACAAAACAAGTATCTTGATTTCAGTTTCTCAGTGTACATGCTAAATCAAAGTTCATCTAAGAATAAATTACGTGCAAAATGAATGATGATGAAATATATACGTTATCATGAGTTCATTTTGACCCCTGAAACCTAATCTTTAATTTACAATTGCAGATTGTACTGTTTACTTAAGTTTAATTATATTTGAAAAGAAATGTGACATTATGACGTGCATCTGTGAATGTCAAGCGCATCACTTACTCAGAATTATTTATTATCAAATCTTTTCTGCGTGTAAGAGCCGCAATTTTTATAGTGGATATTTTGAAACAAAAAATAAAACATACTTTCCAGTCGTGGTATTAATAATACCTTTAAAAATCAATTATATAATCATTCAAATGATTTTCATTAGGAATGGAAATAAACATTGATTTTTTATAGTCATACTTTGTACTACGCAATGCTTCGTTATAAATATTGTTAAGTTAGAAATGTAAATACAAAATCTCAGTTAACTTACGTAAAATTACCTTTGTTTTAGAAATAAGACTTCATATACGACGATCGTGTGGACAAAATTATGCTTGCTTTAATTCTTTACATGTTACATACCTAACAAAGATGAGAGATTTAATATAAAGAACGCGATCATATACATATCATTTAAAAATGGTGATCATAATTCATACATTATTGAAACATCAACTTTCTATCCATATGAGCTTTGTTACATAAACACATTTAAATAACGAACGAAGATGAAGAGTGAGTCAGGATCTCCTTCAACAAACAGTATTATTCTATAACTAAGTATACATCACTGACTAAAAACAAATATTATAGAAATAAAAATACATAAATAAGAACCTCATGCAGAGTACATAATAACATTGAGATTAGTCAAATTCTAAAGGACTACTGCTAAATCTTATACAGTTTCACAAGTTTTAACTCAGGAATAGAGAATCACCTATCTAAGACAGGATTTGAATGCCAATGATTAAGACACGATTTTCAAAACTGAGAATGGATTTTTTCCCTTCATTAATCAAAACTTCCATACATGTATATTCTTGCATAAGTCAGTTCTTATTATAAAAAATCTTTGTTTAACAGTTTTAAGGTTTACTTTCATTGCAACCTTTACTGTTGTATCTACAGTGTCTTCATTGATCATAAGTAATTATAATTTCGTGCAGTTGATGTTTGCCATGTATTTATAATTTACAATGGTTTATTCAATAACAAACATGTAACATTTCACAAAAATAGGTTCGGTTGCGTTCTTTCTCTGTGTAAATACATTCTTACTGTGTTTAACATTTGCTTATTTTACAAATTTTCTTACTTTTAAAATGAATAATTTGCTCAATACGATTAACAAAATTTTGTTAGACACACAGCGATTAGTCAAAAGTGGCGTCGGCAAAAAAGGGAGGTGATGCATGATTGGACATACTATCCTTTCTACATAAATTTTACAGATTCCTATTTTTCCGTTGACAAGTATGCTAGTTCACCTCTCCCATACCTTTGAACAGGTTTTACTGTTCTTTGCTATGCAGCTTATTGTCAATAGTTAGAAAGTTGGTATATCAACTTAGTTATGATTTCTGATGCATGTTTAGTCATACTTTATCGAGATGCCGCTTTAGCTAATTTGTTATGTCTAAAGCGTAATTTTAAAATATCGCTTAGTTTTTCTAAAATTACCTTCGTTTTAGAAGACGACCGTGTGAACAAAATTATGCTTGCTTTAGTTCTTTACATGTCATATATTCAACAAACGGATGAGTGATTTAATATAAACAACGCGACCACATACATATCAGATTAAAATGGTGATGGAAGTTGATACCTTATTGTAACATCAATCTTTTACCTTGTGAGTTTTGTTACATAAACACATTTGAATAATGAACGAAGATGAAGAGTGAGTCAGGATCTCCTTCAACAAACAGTATTAAAACACATTAATGACGTCTATGTAGAACATTCTAGTTATATAACTAAGTATACATCACTGACTAAAACAATTGTTATAGAAATAAAATACATAAATAAGAACCTCATGCAGAGTACATAATAACATTGAGATTAGTCAAATTCCAAAGGACTACTGCTAAATCTTATAAAGTTTCACAGTTTTAACTCGGGAATAGAGAATCACCTATCTAAGACAGGATTTGAATGCTAATGATTAAGAAACGATTTTCGAAACTGGGAATGGATTTTTCCTTTCATTAATCAAAGATTCCATACATGTATATTCTAGCGTAAGTCAGTTCTTATTATAAAAAATCTTTGTTATTGAATAAACCACTGTAAAATATGAATACATGGCAAACATGAACTGCACGCAATTATATAATCACATATGATCAATAAAAACACTGTAGATACAACAGTAAAGGTTGCAATGAAAGTAAACCTTAAAACTGTTAAACAAACATGATTAAAAGAATAATTTTAAAAGCTCACTGTGTTGCATGAATCAACAATTTACAAAAATAGATTCAGTAGGGTACTTTCTCTGTGTAAATACATTCTTCCTGTGTTTAACATTTGCTTATTTTTCAAATTTTCTTACCTTTAAACGAAATGGTTTGTTGTATACAACTATTAACATTTTGCTAGAGACACAGAGATTAGTCAAAAGTGGCGTCAGCAAGAAGGGAGGTGATGCATGATTGGACACGTGCCCCTGCCTACATAAATTTTCACAGATTCCCATTTTTTCATAGACAAGTATGCTATTTCACCTCTCCCATACCTTTGAACAGGTTTTGCTTTCCTTTACCATCAATTTTATTGTCAATAGTTAGAAAGTTGGTATATAAATTTAGATATGATTTCTCATGCATGTTTAGTCATACTTTATTGAGATGCTGCTTTAGCTAATTTGTTATGTCTGTAGTGTAATTCTAAAATATCACTTAATTTTTCTAAAATTACCTTTGTTTAGAAGTAAGACGACCGTGTGAACAAAATCATGCTTGCTTTAGTTTTTTTATGTCACATACTTTACAAAGACGAGAGATGATGATCATAGTTCATGCCTTATTGTAACATCAATTTTTTATCAATGAGAATTTTGTGACATAAACACATTAAAATAACGAGCGATGATGAAAAATGAGTCAGGAAGTCAGGATCTACTTCAACAAACAATATTATAAAACAATAATGACATCTATGTCACAGTATAGGAATATACAGTAGGTCCATTTGTTGTGCAGCTGGCTGCCGTTTGATATTTTATCATTCTTATTTGTCCGAAATTGCAATTAACTTGCTGCCACTATGGTAGTCACATGTGCAATGAGATGTTTGTGGCACGAAAAAATTTAATGGAGTGGCTACTTATGTTCTTCTATAGTGTGTCTATGTAGAAAATCTCAGATTATTGCATAAGTCATTTCATATTATAAAAAAACTTTGTTATTTAATAGGCCATTGCAAATTATGAACAATTTTCAAATTCCAAATACAAGGAATTATAATTACTTATGATAAAAAACACTGCAGACACAAGAGTAAAGAATGTGATGAAAATAAGATAAATAAAGATGTGTAGTAACGATGAGAAACACATTGTAGTTTAGTCTCAGTAGGCAAATTCAAAAGATTAGTGGTACCAGTAAGGGAAAAAACACTCACAAAGCGCATTTACGATTTCAAAAAATGAATGCTTAAAGTGAGTTAAATCTTAGTATAGGAATATTGAAAATTACGACTAAAATGACTTATGACGCTTAAGAAAAGGTTGTAAATCTTGCGCTTAAAGCTTTAATTCTTTTCAATCACTTAAAATCATTTTACGCCACGTAGAATCCCTTTTACCGGGTTCATGTGATCAGGCTATTAGTTTACTGGCTGCTGTTTGTCATATCGTCGATCCTATTGGTCACACAATGCAATTTACTGGCTGCCAATATGGTAATCACATGCGCAATAAGATATGCGTGGCACGAAAAAATTCAATGGAGTGGCCCTACTGTATGTTTTCTATACTGGGGTTAAGTATATTACTAACGTTACTCACATCCATCTCATTGTTGCTAATCCGTAACCGTGAATTAGCATTGGTTAGTAACAAAGTGTTGCACTACGAGTCTACGACAAAGACACACTATGTTTCACCAATACCAATTTAAAGTCTAATCTCTAACGATAGACTCTCACGTTTTCAAACGTCCTTCCATATTTGCTAAATTTCAACATTCTACGGTCGTTTACTGCATAAAAACAACAGCTTCCATTACTTAACTTTATAAATGGTTATTTTATGCATGCACAGAAGCACAACACAAACAGAAATACACGAGAACGCAACCAGAAGTAAGCTATTTTGAGTTTACTCCATAAATTCCTTAGCATTTCTAATTCAAGTAGTGCTCTTTTAAATAACTTGAAACTGTATGTGTTGCGTTGACACAGGAATGTTGTTAATGAAGATCGTATCAGACAATATATTTTACGAGAACTCAATGAATGCGGTATTATGGTAGGATATAGAGCTATTTGGAGGCTTTTGCAAGCTAAGTATAACGTGCTAGTACGTTATTTGGCTATTCAAACTATGCTCAAAGAAATCGACCTTGAATCAACGAGACCTCGACGAGGAAACAGACTAATAAGAAGAAAGTATTTGAATCCACGCCATAATACACCTTGTAAGATAAACTGAAGCCGACAGGTAAGATAAACTGAAGCCGTATGGTTTTGCACTTCACGGACACATTGACGGCTTTATATTTAAATTTATCGGCTCTCGGATAATTATAGTCAAAATTATGCGATAACATATAATTATAAATAAAATTACGCCAAAGGACATCGTGTCGTGGTGAATTGTGCGTAAGAAATTGAGTTACATCAACTCATTTTCTAAAGATGATTGACTTCTAGGCAATGATGTGGAAACTTGGACAGGACTTGTTTTTATATTTATTTCAGTATTCGAATAAATTTTTTGAAGCATAAGATAACAAAAAGCTCTATCACTTATGGAGGGTGATCTCCGCCAAAATTAAAAGCTATATTTTCAATTACTAATGCGCATTTTGTCCTTTCAATGTGCATTTTGTCTTTATCATATTCCATTCTGGAATTTTATGATCGGATTTTGTCCTGTACACTTTCTGTTAAAACTCATTTTGTTGTTGAACATTCCATTATGGTGACGTAACATTATTCGTGACTCGCAAAACATCAAATTTTACTCAATTACATTATAATTTATTTATAATTTATTTTCTTGATGTGGTAATAATGAAAACAAAATAAACCAATAGACCTTTTCAAGGTTATTGTAGCCATATTGTAGGGGGTGCAAAAATATTGGGCCGAGCGCGCGGTCGCGCATGGCGTCCATATAAATTACTAATAAATGCGCAAAAATTACCCTTATACATATTGGCCATTTCTTTCAAAAATATTTCTCAAACTCATCCATTTTAATAGTCAAATTATTATTTGCAATTTTTTATACACGTTAGTCCAATTTTGTGGTAATTAAAAAGCGGAAAGTTAAAGAAAACATTTGTTTTCTTTGAACAACTTGACCGTCGTTTGAGCGATGTTCTTGAGTTCGCAAATGTGCGGAACTC